CATTTCATTCACTATTTTTAATATATTATTATATTATTTATAAAATGCTATGATGTATAAAAAGTGAATTTCTTTAAAATGTATTAATAAATCCCAAAGAGATTATTAGAAATGCCGTGTCCCCCACATTTTGTTCTGAGAAACATGCCAAACAAGTTAACAGAATTTTGAGTCAGAAATAGATTTTATCTGGAAAAGCTTGATAGATATCAATGGAGTTTGAAGATTTGGCAGAGGGATGCATTGCAGAGATACTGTCACACACGTCTCCCATGGATGCATGCAAGCTCTCCTTAGTTTCCAGAGGCTTTTGTTCTGCAGCTGAATCTGATTTTGTGTGGTCTGCTTTTCTCCTCAACATGACCTCAATCATTCCTCCTTCTTCCATTCCCTCATCCAGTTCTAAGAAGGGTCTCTATTTCAATCTCTGCAACCACCCCACCATCATTGATCAGGGCAAAAAGGTCAGTACATAACACTTTATTATATTCTTTGAGTAATCCTTGTTCATGATTTTGATCAAACATAATTTGGTGATCTGGGCTCATGTAATAATTTCTCATGAATTTGGTTTTGGTGGTTTTAATAAAACCAAGCATTTCTGGTTTCAAACTGAATGAAATGTGTTGTCTCCGAAATTAATGCAGAGTGTTCAGCTCGACAAAAGGACAGGGAAGAAGTGTTACATGCTTTCTGCTAGAAATCTGGACATTATATGGGGTGATGCTGCTCAACATTGGGATTGGACAAGCCTGCCAGAGTCCAGGTAAATTGATTGATTAAGGTTTCAAGAAACATTTTGTTTGACACCTTAATTTTAAGGTTTTACAAGTGTTTGTTGTAACTACCTCAGCTATGTTTGATTGTGGTATGAAAAAACACAACTTTGATATGAATTTAGGACATTGAGGAATTGTTGTGTTAGCAGGTTCGAAGCGGTTGCTGTGCTTCGTGCTGTGTGCTGGTTTGATATCAGTGGGAAGATAAGCACAGTTGGTCTGTCATCAGACACTCATTATGCAGTATTTCTGGTGTTCAAGATGATCAATGCAAGTGGGTTTCATTACCATCCGACAGTGATATCAGTTGGTGTTTCTGGAGGTAGTACCAACTCCAAATATGTTTGTTTGGATCTGAACGTGAAAGATAATTGTTTGAGAGAACTACAATGTCCTAAAGTGAGAAGTGATGGGTGGTTGGAGATTGAGATGGGAGAGTTCTTCAATTCAGGCCTAAAAGAAGAGCAATTGCAAATAAAAGTGATGGAGACAACAAGTCATATACAGAAGTGTGGTTTCATTCTTGAAGGAATAGAACTTAGGCCTAAATATGTCTGATACGTGAAACGAGTTGTTTGGCCAAAGAAGAGTGAAATTACAAAGAATTCATACTTGCTGTTACCCAATTTTTTTTTCATATTTGTATTTTTGTATACCCTTTTACATTGAGTTACCCTTTTACCAGAGTGGAAGATTTTTTATTACCCATGTTTTGTTTTGTTCCAGAGCTTTACTTTCCTTGCACTTAGCATCATGGCATTGAGGATCATTCATGGCATCTTTGTAGGTTAGAGGTTCAACACTTGTACAAACAGATAAATCAGAACACAGTAACATAATTAGCTATGGGATAAGAAAGAGGTATGAGTTGTCACCCTTTGTCCTCCATAAAAGGAAAATCATAAACTTTGTTGAGCAATTGTTCCATTGGAGGGTGAGAGGTGGATCAAAGTAAGGAATAAAGGTACATCCTTTAACAAAAGGGTAAACATCTTATGAGACTTGACATTGGATGAGTTTCAAGATAGACCCCACCATTTCTGATAATGGGGACATTCAAGGAAGATGCATTTTCTCTGAAATGTGTGTGTAATTTGGCAAGCTGTGAAATAGCAACTCTTATGGAATTGCCTTTATGAGATGAATTACAGTAAGCACACATTTTCAAAAAACCTTGGGGGAATCAAAGTGTAAGTCTTCTCAAATTGTGTAAGAGAATCACTCAGGTCTCATTTGGTGCTCTGTCTGGGAATTCTTTCCTCTAAAGAACCCTAAAAACTGACAGAAAAATGAGCTTACAGGTCTGATATACCATTCCTTATCATACAAGTTTAACTACAGAGAGAGACTTCTGTAAATTTTATTTGTGAAATTGTGTTCTTAACATTCATAGAAATCTTTTAACCAATGCAACAGTCTCAGTTTTGTTATCATGTTGCAATGAGTTCATGGTAAGGACTTACTGCACCCTATCGAATTTCTTGGTGCACCCTTTCAAAAGCCTCCTGAAATATTCTCAGGATTTGTTTTAATGATAGAGTGTTGGAATATGGTGCAGGAAGTAATAGCCCGAGTTCAAAATTTCTCACTGCAATAATTGGGCTTGGGCTGTAACAGCCCAAACATCAATAGGCTATTTCTTAATTTCCTTCGCTCCCACATAAAAAACTTTCCCATTTTCCCCTTTTTAGAAATCATTCGGAAGTCCTTATTCACTTCTGGATGGTGAAATTTAAAAGTCAAAAATAAATTTTGAATTATACAACGTAAAAAGCTATTTTTTCCCCTAAAAAAACCTTCCAAATTACGTAATTTGTAAGTAAAAAAAATTATGCAATCTAGAAGTTAAATAAATTTCAAATTACAATTTAGAAACCAAATGGCTTTTGGATTGTGCTATCGCAAATATGTAATCCAAAATATAATTTTAAGAAAAAATGAGTTCCGAATTTATAGTTTGAAAGTTATTTTTAGCTTTTATATTACACAATCTAAAATTCATTTTTCACTTGGATTGTATGATGTAGAAATCATTCTTTTAAAAAAAATATACTTTCAAATTGCATAATTTAAAAATATTTTTTTATCTTTAGATTGTAAAAGGACAAAATGGGAAGGTTTTATATGAAAATATAGAATGAAGTTTATGAAAATTTAGGAAGAAATGACCACATCAATAATAATAATATAATAATTATTATTATTATGGAGAATTTAATTAAAGAAATAGGGTGGATCCATGCGGGAAAATATAGTAAAAATGAAAAGAAAGCAAGAACATTTAACCAAATATATAAAAACAGAATTTTGTTGTGTGTTGTCTGTTGAAGGTAGCAAAAATCCGAGGATGTGTCCTGAAGAAAAGTGGTATTAGATATATGGAAGAAATTGTTTGTTGGATGTTTAACATAAATCAAACAATGAATAGATGGATCACACAACATGGTCGTCAATGGCTTCGTGATGTAGTGTATGTCTAGTCACTGTAACAGGCCATTGTAAATTTCATCTTCTCTCACAAAATGCCACTTTTTAAAATTTAAAATAGTATTTTATGATACTATTCCTTTTCTGTTTCTTATTTTGCCTTATTAGTCATTTGGAAACAAAATTAATGAAAAATTAGGTAACTTGATTGATGGAAAAATACTATATTATTTCAAATATTCATACAGAAAAGAAAAGAAAGGAAACAAGCAATTTTTAATGAATTATAAATTTATCCTTGTTTTCTTTAAAATATGATAGATTTTTTTTAATAAAATTTTGTTCAGATGAAATAGAGAGAGAAAAATATATAGATAGATTTTTTTAAACGTGTTTAGTTTGAATAAAAGAAGGCAATAAAAATATTTTTTCCCACATTTTAACTTGTATAATTAAACTATGATATTAAGTTAAGAAATCGATTTTAATTTAATTTAGTTTTATTAAATTAGTTTAAATGAAGTTTCCAACCATTCACATATTATAAAATTATTATATTTTTAATTGACATACTTACACCATTGTTTTTACATATCTTCTATTATACATTGCACTAAACAAAGGATTCGTGAATCAGCATGTTATGATTGTTGGAGTATTGATGTTTGACCTTACAATTTCATATTTAGAATTTCCTTTAAGGATGTCTCATGCTCATGGTTTTTCTAGTGAACAAGCAAAGTTACACATATAATGTGTCAACGGAGGAAGTGAGTTTTGTTAGGATGAACGACAGTTGAAAATGATTATTCGTAGTTGTGGTTGGTTGGGAATGCTTCCACTGAAGGGGAAATTTACCTATGTGAAAGAGATTCACTCTTGAAGGAGAAATTGTTGGGAATTCAAGTATGAATCTAAGTCTCACATTGGATAGAAATAAGAAAGTAGGGAACTATATAAAGATGAAAGATCCATTAAACCATTACCTTAAGGTTTTGGGTAAAGAGTGGTGTCAATCCTTCGTATGATTAGACTCACATTTTATTGGTGTTTGTAACTTTGGTGAACCTCCCTCTTAAATTGAATTGCTTCACTTGTTTCAATCTCATGTCTAGAACATTTATAACATGTAACTCCTATACTTGTCTTCCTTACCCTGCATCTTAGTATTTCAATTTTTATTTCTTTCTTCTTTCCATTATTTAGTGACAAGTGTGTTCGATAAGAGTTAATCTACGTATATTTATATATATATTTTTTAATAATTAAACCAGTATGATAATTAGTTTATAACATATATTATAATTAACGTAGACATAGACAATTGTGCCACAATTATTTCCAGCATAGAGGACAAGCTAATGTCTTGAGCAGGTCGCAGAATCTATCAAAGATTAGGTTGGAAATTTGGTAAAAGGGTCCATCTTTCTTGCTTTCTTATGACACAATTTTTTGAATCACCGAATCTCTTCTAGAAGAGATTAATTTTAAAAAAATATGGCAACTTAAAATTTAATTTTGAGGTAACTTTCAAAAATAATGTATACTTCTTAACTTTTATAATTTATATTATTTTTAATTTTTAGAATTAATTAATAATTTATTTTCTATAATTAGTTCTTTTCATTTGTTTTATTCTTTATGTTTTTTACTTAATTAATTTTTAATAAAACTTCAAATAATTTTTTATTTTAAATTTACATTAACATTATTTAGGAAGTGCTACCTGTAAAATTCTGAATCATGTGACGAGAGGTGAGAGGTNTTCCATTCCCTCATCCAGTTCTAAGAAGGGTCTCTATTTCAATCTCTGCAACCACCCCACCATCATTGATCAGGGCAAAAAGGTCAGTACATAACACTTTATTATATTCTTTGAGTAATCCTTGTTCATGATTTTGATCAAACATAATTTGGTGATCTGGGCTCATGTAATAATTTCTCATGAATTTGGTTTTGGTGGTTTTAATAAAACCAAGCATTTCTGGTTTCAAACTGAATGAAATGTGTTGTCTCCGAAATTAATGCAGAGTGTTCAGCTCGACAAAAGGACAGGGAAGAAGTGTTACATGCTTTCTGCTAGAAATCTGGACATTATATGGGGTGATGCTGCTCAACATTGGGATTGGACAAGCCTGCCAGAGTCCAGGTAAATTGATTGATTAAGGTTTCAAGAAACATTTTGTTTGACACCTTAATTTTAAGGTTTTACAAGTGTTTGTTGTAACTACCTCAGCTATGTTTGATTGTGGTATGAAAAAACACAACTTTGATATGAATTTAGGACATTGAGGAATTGTTGTGTTAGCAGGTTCGAAGCGGTTGCTGTGCTTCGTGCTGTGTGCTGGTTTGATATCAGTGGGAAGATAAGCACAGTTGGTCTGTCATCAGACACTCATTATGCAGTATTTCTGGTGTTCAAGATGATCAATGCAAGTGGGTTTCATTACCATCCGACAGTGATATCAGTTGGTGTTTCTGGAGGTAGTACCAACTCCAAATATGTTTGTTTGGATCTGAACGTGAAAGATAATTGTTTGAGAGAACTACAATGTCCTAAAGTGAGAAGTGATGGGTGGTTGGAGATTGAGATGGGAGAGTTCTTCAATTCAGGCCTAAAAGAAGAGCAATTGCAAATAAAAGTGATGGAGACAACAAGTCATATACAGAAGTGTGGTTTCATTCTTGAAGGAATAGAACTTAGGCCTAAATATGTCTGATACGTGAAACGAGTTGTTTGGCCAAAGAAGAGTGAAATTACAAAGAATTCATACTTGCTGTTACCCAATTTTTTTTTCATATTTGTATTTTTGTATACCCTTTTACATTGAGTTACCCTTTTACCAGAGTGGAAGATTTTTTATTACCCATGTTTTGTTTTGTTCCAGAGCTTTACTTTCCTTGCACTTAGCATCATGGCATTGAGGATCATTCATGGCATCTTTGTAGGTTAGAGGTTCAACACTTGTACAAACAGATAAATCAGAACACAGTAACATAATTAGCTATGGGATAAGAAAGAGGTATGAGTTGTCACCCTTTGTCCTCCATAAAAGGAAAAGCATAAACTTTGTTGAGCAATTGTTCCATTGGAGGGTGAGAGGTGGATCAAAGTAAGGAATAAAGGTACATCCTTTAACAAAAGGGTAAACATCTTATGAGACTTGACATTGGATGAGTTTCAAGATAGACCCCACCATTTCTGATAATGGGGACATTCAAGGAAGATGCATTTTCTCTGAAATGTGTGTGTAATTTGGCAAGCTGTGAAATAGCAACTCTTATGGAATTGCCTTTATGAGATGAATTACAGTAAGCACACATTTTCAAAAAACCTTGGGGGAATCAAAGTGTAAGTCTTCTCAAATTGTGTAAGAGAATCACTCAGGTCTCATTTGGTGCTCTGTCTGGGAATTCTTTCCTCTAAAGAACCCTAAAAACTGACAGAAAAATGAGCTTACAGGTCTGATATACCATTCCTTATCATACAAGTTTAACTACAGAGAGAGACTTCTGTAAATTTTATTTGTGAAATTGTGTTCTTAACATTCATAGAAATCTTTTAACCAATGCAACAGTCTCAGTTTTGTTATCATGTTGCAATGAGTTCATGGTAAGGACTTACTGCACCCTATCGAATTTCTTGGTGCACCCTTTCAAAAGCCTCCTGAAATATTCTCAGGATTTGTTTTAATGATAGAGTGTTGGAATATGGTGCAGGAAGTAATAGCCCGAGTTCAAAATTTCTCACTGCAATAATTGGGCTTGGGCTGTAACAGCCCAAACATCAATAGGCTATTTCTTAATTTCCTTCGCTCCCACATAAAAAACTTTCCCATTTTCCCCTTTTTAGAAATCATTCGGAAGTCCTTATTCACTTCTGGATGGTGAAATTTAAAAGTCAAAAATAAATTTTGAATTATACAACGTAAAAAGCTATTTTTTCCCCTAAAAAAACCTTCCAAATTACGTAATTTGTAAGTAAAAAAAATTATGCAATCTAGAAGTTAAATAAATTTCAAATTACAATTTAGAAACCAAATGGCTTTTGGATTGTGCTATCGCAAATATGTAATCCAAAATATAATTTTAAGAAAAAATGAGTTCCGAATTTATAGTTTGAAAGTTATTTTTAGCTTTTATATTACACAATCTAAAATTCATTTTTCACTTGGATTGTATGATGTAGAAATCATTCTTTTAAAAAAATATACTTTCAAATTGCATAATTTAAAAATATTTTTTTATCTTTAGATTGTAAAAGGACAAAATGGGAAGGTTTTATATGAAAATATAGAATGAAGTTTATGAAAATTTAGGAAGAAATGACCACATCAATAATAATAATATAATAATTATTATTATTATGGAGAATTTAATTAAAGAAATAGGGTGGAACCATGCGGGAAAATATAGTAAAAATGAAAAGAAAGCAAGAACATTTAACCAAATATATAAAAACAGAATTTTGTTGTGTGTTGTCTGTTGAAGGTAGCAAAAATCCGAGGATGTGTCCTGAAGAAAAGTGGTATTAGATATATGGAAGAAATTGTTTGTTGGATGTTGAACAGAAATCAAACAATGAATAGATGGATCACACAACATGGTCGTCAATGGCTTCGTGATGTAGTGTATGTCTAGTCACTGTAACAGGCCATTGTAAATTTCATCCTCTCTCACAAAATGCCACTTTTTAAAATTTAAAATAGTATTTTATGATACTATTCCTTTTCTGTTTCTTATTTTGCCTTATTAGTCATTTGGAAACAAAATTAATGAAAAATTAGGTAACTTGATTGATGGAAAAATACTATATTATTTCAAATATTCATACAGAAAAGAAAAGAAAGGAAACAAGCAATTTTTAATGAATTATAAATTTATCCTTGTTTTCTTTAAAATATGATAGATTTTTTTTAATAAAATTTTGTTCAGATGAAATAGAGAGAGAAAAATATATAGATAGATTTTTTTAAACGTGTTTAGTTTGAATAAAAGAAGGCAATAAAAATATTTTTTCCCACATTTTAACTTGTATAATTAAACTATGATATTAAGTTAAGAAATCGATTTTAATTTAATTTAGTTTTATTAAATTAGTTTAAATGAAGTTTCCAACCATTCACATATTATAAAATTATTATATTTTTAATTGACATACTTACACCATTGTTTTTACATATCTTCTATTATACATTGCACTAAACAAAGGATTCGTGAATCAGCATGTTATGATTGTTGGAGTATTGATGTTTGACCTTACAATTTCATATTTAGAATTTCCTTTAAGGATGTCTCATGCTCATGGTTTTTCTAGTGAACAAGCAAAGTTACACATATAATGTGTCAACGGAGGAAGTGAGTTTTGTTAGGATGAACGACAGTTGAAAATGATTATTCGTAGTTGTGGTTGGTTGGGAATGCTTCCACTGAAGGGGAAATTTACCTATGTGAAAGAGATTCACTCTTGAAGGAGAAATTGTTGGGAATTCAAGTATGAATCTAAGTCTCACATTGGATAGAAATAAGAAAGTAGGGAACTATATAAAGATGAAAGATCCATTAAACCATTACCTTAAGGTTTTGGGTAAAGAGTGGTGTCAATCCTTCGTATGATTAGACTCACATTTTATTGGTGTTTGTAACTTTGGTGAACCTCCCTCTTAAATTGAATTGCTTCACTTGTTTCAATCTCATGTCTAGAACATTTATAACATGTAACTCCTATACTTGTCTTCCTTACCCTGCATCTTAGTATTTCAATTTTTATTTCTTTCTTCTTTCCATTATTTAGTGACAAGTGTGTTCGATAAGAGTTAATCTACGTATATTTATATATATATTTTTTAATAATTAAACCAGTATGATAATTAGTTTATAACATATATTATAATTAACGTAGACATAGACAATTGTGCCACAATTATTTCCAGCATAGAGGACAAGCTAATGTCTTGAGCAGGTCGCAGAATCTATCAAAGATTAGGTTGGAAATTTGGTAAAAGGGGCCATCTTTCTTGCTTTCTTATGACACAATTTTTTGAATCACCGAATCTCTTCTAGAAGAGATTAATTTTAAAAAAATATGGCAACTTAAAATTTAATTTTGAGGTAACTTTCAAAAATAATGTATACTTCTTAACTTTTATAATTTATATTATTTTTAATTTTTAGAATTAATTAATAATTTATTTTCTATAATTAGTTCTTTTCATTTGTTTTATTCTTTATGTTTTTTACTTAATTAATTTTTAATAAAACTTCAAATAATTTTTTATTTTAAATTTACATTAACATTATTTAGGAAGTGCTACCTGTAAAATTCTGAATCATGTGACGAGAGGTGAGAGGTGAAATGAAGAGATAGAAGAAATGGAAGAAGTGTTAGAAGATAAATGAAGGCAACGAGAAACTATAAAAATATATATGAATATTTTAATATTCGATTTAGAAAATGATATTGACATCACTAAAGAAAGATAAGAACATGAGTGATAAATTTGTATAGAAAAATATTATCTTTATAATTATATTTTCCTTCCTATTTGTTTTTTTTATTTCTTTCTTTTCCTTTTCTCTTATATTTTTTTTCTTGAATTTATTTTTTTATCAACTCCTTTTCTTTTATTTCTTTTTCTCTGACACCTTCTTTCCATTTTTTTTCTCTTCAATTTCTCTCAACTATTTTTCTCTATTTCTCTCTCTTTCAGTATGATTTGAGCATGTTTTTGCATTACAATTGTATTCTTTTATAAGATGAATCAAATAAAACTATTTATATTCCAAAATAATTCTCAATGACTAATATCTACTACCCACTAATGTTGGATGTAATCATTATATGATGAATGATTATTTCTTATATTTAATTTAAAGATAAAAATTATAAGAAAATTCAAAAGATTCATCAAGAAGAAAAAAAAAAGAATTTCAAGATAGAAAATAACTTATATTTAAACAAATAACATATTTCAAATGACGTTGACGTTAATTTAACTGAATAAATATATTATGTATTTAAAAACAATACGAAATTATATTAATTTTTTTATTCTTAAAATAGAGATTGAATTGAGTTAAATAAATATTAAACTAAAACAAATAAAAAACTTAAATATGGATCAAATTACTAAACTGAATTTTTAAGAGTATGATATAGTAGTATTATTTTTTTAGAATATGTTGAAGAAGAGAGATGTATTTAAAGAATAATATTTTGATATACACGTCAATATTATGGCAATAAATACGATACTAAATATACAATAAATGTCTTATACTTTGAGACGATTATTGTAGTCCGTATATTAATTCTTACTTTTATGTATTTCGAAGATAAAATCTCATTCTTTAAGTTTGGTTTAGTCATTCTCAAATGCAACTATTGATAAGTATAAATACGTAATTCTCATGCTAATAAATAAATTTGAGGAGTGATGACTATTTTGAAAAGTTCTTGATAATTTGAAAGCTAAATATATTGTTCCATTAACCTTTTGTTAAAAAAGATAAGTAAGCTATTACATAGCCTTTTGAAATTTAGCAATTATAGTAAAAAACTAATAAAAAGTTACAAATGATCTTTGAGTTTGACCGTTAATCTCTTCACATATAAAACAAAATTTCTAGCAAGTGTTTTTACATTGTGTTCATATACAATATAACAATTTTTTTTATGATATTTTGGTAGAAAGTGAAATCTTCCATTATTATTCATAGCACACTATTATCACAAGAAGGAAGTTTTGTTTTTATTTTATGCAAGAAAAAAACAATAGAAAGTAGGATAAAAATTATGGGTAATGATTCACTTACATGGGAGCTAGGAAAAGAGTTTGTGAGTGGACTGAAAAGTCAAAAAAATTG